ACATGAAAGGGCAATGACTTGACGACACAGAAGTGAAGAAAAAAACAAGGGAGGCACAGTCATTCAAACAGATGCGTTTGAAAAATGTTTCCAAGAACGGAATCGCAGATTTGACAAATGTGTTGTGTGATGGAGAGTACTTTGAAAGTGACAAGGTTGTTTTGTTAAAAATTTAAATACATAGCTTTAAAAAAAGTCCGGGGTTTGGGGGGTACTCCCTTGCAATTCAAATGCATCAATTCTTCCGTCTTCTTTATTCAATGTCCAACTTTCACATGCATATGTTGCAATTAAAAATACCATGGCTTGGAATCAGGCACACGTTAGTTCTCAGAGTAACACCCTTGCTCTCCAGTCCTCTATAGGAGTTCTGGAGGCCCCATTCTTCTCAAGGTTTGCAATGATACACAGTCGGATATCTTGGGAAGTCAATAGAACACAAACATATTTCTGGTACTGTCTGCTTTCAGCTAATCCATCTGACATCAGTAATATCATTTGTTCCACGTCCTCTTCTGAATCTGGCCTGAATCTCTGGCTGCTCCCTGTCAATGTACTGCTGCTATAGCTGTTGTTACTTGATCTTCAGGAAAATTTTACTTGCATGTGGTATTGTTCCATAGTCTAAGCTGTTTGGGCACTTTCATTTGGAACTGGTACAAATATGGATCTCTTTAGTTGGGCAACTAAATGTCTTCCAAATTTCCTGCCATAGACCATTAGATGCCTCCAGTGCTTCGTCAGTTTGTTGAAACATTTCAGTTGGTATTCCATCAATTCTTTTTGGCTAATGCTTTCAATGCAGCTTGAACTTCTTCCTTTAGCACTAGTGGCTCTTGCTCATATGCTACCTCCTGACAAGGTTGAACATTGACTAGTTCTTTTTGGTATAGTGATTCTGCATATTTTCTCCGTCTTTTGATGCATCCTTCTGTATCATTCAGTATTTTGCTCACAGGATCTTTTAATAATGTGACTCGAGGCTTGAATTTTTTCTTGAGTTCTTTTGGTATAAGACATACTGAACATAAAAATTATCAAGGGCCCATGAGGGAGCGGGGAGCCAGGAGGGAGGGGAAAAAATGAGGACCTGATGCTGGGGGCTTAAGTGGAGGGGAAACGTTTTGAGAATGACGAGGGCAATGAATGTACAAATGTGCTTTTTACACAATTGATACATGTATGGATTGCAGTAAGAGTCGTATGAACCCCTAATAAAATTTTTTTAAAAAAAGACATACTGAACATGTTCTTCCCTGTAAAGGTAGTCTCAGACACCCACAGGGGCAGTTCTACTCTGATCTATAGGCTTGCTTCAAGTTGGAATCAACCTCACAGCAGTGAGTGCTTTGTATGTATCAGGTATAAACTGAGAGGGCTATTACCATCAGTAAAAGTTTAAAACCCCTGAATCTATACATAAAGGCAAAGGCAGATTTTACTTCCTTGTACTAACATAAAAGTTAGAACTAAATAGAAAAAGTCTAAAGCAGAGGTTCTCAACCTGTGGGTCACGACCCCTTTGGCGATCAAAAGACCCTTTTACAGGGGTTGCCCCATTCATAACAGTAGCAAAACTACAGTGATGAAGTAGCAACAAAATTAATTTTATGGTTGGGGCGTCACCACAACATAAGGAACTGTATGAAAGGGTCACGGCATTAGGAAGGTTGAGAACCACTGGTCTAAAGGATACGGACAGGGAATTTGCAATAAAAATAAGTTAATAATTGAAAAGACGGTAAGTAAAAAAAGATAATTTAAAAATCTAAACAAAACTTATTTTTTACACTATCAATATAAACCATTTTAAAAAATTGCTGACACACAGTGAGAAGTTATGTTCAATGGGCTTGGAAGTAATCTATCCAAATAACCATTCCTAATGACTAGCTCTCTACCTCAGAGAATCAATACTGTAGACACACTTAACAACTGTGCAAACGTGTATCACCAGAAAGTTCTCTGTAGCGATTCCTATAATGTACACCTGTCAGCAACTTGACACCATCAGAAGGTGGACAGACTTTTTGTACCTTTTTTAGATGAAAATGACCAGAGTTTAAAACACAACTTCCTTATACCAAATGTATCAAGAAAAAAATACCCAACTCCATTATCTCACTGAATATGGAAGCAATACTGGAGCTTTTCTTTTTGTTGCCATCACGTCGGTCTGCCTCAAGGACATCTTATGTACAACATGGTGAAACACTGCCCTTTCCTGCACTGTCTTCACAACTGTGCTCCCGTATGAGTCCAATGCCATAGCCATCCTGCCAATTCATCTCTTTTGACTTCTACAGGAAGCTGGAAAAATCCCATTATCTTTTCTTTATTCCATGAACTTTCGGAGGCCCACTTGTGGATTGTAGATTGCTCCTTTGCTTCTTCTCCCAAAGTATCAAAATCAAAATGTCATCTCAGTTCCCCCTTTTCATGTATGCCCTTCTGTAAAAAGTTAAGATGAATAAGAGTTTACATAGTACTTTCCTCAACCTCTGGGGAAATGCATCTGCAACCTATGACACTGATTTTATGAATGTAAACTATTTATTCATAGCCTATTTTATCACTTAGTCCCTCAGTATCCAACTAAGATTAGGCACTAATTTCAAAAACAATGAACTAGTGACTTCCAAAATTCTTTTCAGAAACCTTCATATCTTCATCCATTGCAAATGTTTTAAAAGTGGCCTTGAGAAGTGTGAAATATCTAATTCCTGAACTGATACTTTAAATGTGTCCCGCCATTAAAAAAAAATAGTAAGAGCAACTAATGATACATCAACACTTGGTCAATCCTCATAGATGTTCAAGGATACATAACTGAAAACGATTTGATGCTATCAAGGCTGATGTGGAAAATATATGCAAACCAAGACCTCTCATGTTCTACTTCAAAGTGATACCATCTGGTAGGTATGAAAAATGTCCCATTATCTCAAGTAATTTTCATATCTAACAAAAGAATCACTTAACTCTAAAGGAAAATATACAGAGTTCCGTGGAATAACTTCCAAGTTGATATAGAAATCAAAATATTCCTTTACTTGTAAAAATGTTTAATAACTTAGGTGGTTTTCTGTGACATGATAAAGTCGTCAGGCTGAACAACAACAAAACTAGTACATTATTTTGTGATAGTGATTACCTCTGAGGAGGGAGGGAGCAGAAAAAGTTGGAGGGTGTTAGCTTTTACTATAATCTCATTATTAAAGTAAAAACTCGCTACAATAATGTCTTTTGGATTAAGGGTACAGATCTTATACTCTGGAAGCAGATTCCCAGGTTCCAAACAATTCAATAGCACTTTGTGAGCTTAGGCAAGTTATTTAACTTCCTTATCTGTCAATAGAACCAATATTTCCTGAGTTATCGGACTGGTGTTAAGATGAACTGAGCATCCTATGTGAGGTTGTTAGAATAGTCTCTGACACTTGGTAAATGCCATCAATCAGTATCATCAGTCTCACCATCTATGGCCAGCAGCAACTATGAAATCTGGCTGGAAGGCATTAGGGAAGGAGGGAGCTGAGGGTGGTGGCATCTGTTCTACTTGCTATATTTGTATCCACTGATAAATGACCAGTCACAAGTGAGGAAACATTACATTTTAGAGAAATAAAATTTCAGTCTTCCCTTCAACTTTCAAAAACATGAGACCATACAAGCTTTGGAGTTTGATGTTTATTTTTAGCAGGAAAAAATATGCTAATGGGTGGTGACATCCATTAGAGGATACGCCCATGTCCAATACCTGCAACAGAAGCTCGACAGAAGTTAAAGACACCATACCAAAAGATTAAAGACAAAAATTGAGTATGACATTACTTACCCTTAATTCTGTTAACAATAAACCAAGTAATATTAAGATTAAAGTTCTATCACATGTTCAAAATTGGGAAACAATCAAATTTGTCTTTCAAACAAAACTTCCATCCTTCCTGTCCTATCTTATATGGGAGCAGAGAAGCACACTGAGAAAGGGTAGAACTAACCAAAGAGCTAAAAACTTGGGGAGGAAGACCTTTGCTGCTGATACTCAAATAGCAATCAATGGCAACCCAATCTAAATATCATGTTTAGCTCAATTGAGGACTGTTTATCCAAGAACAAATCACTAATGAATAAAAATGTAATAGAGGCAGTATCATAGCATATCTACAAATCTACTGTGAACTTTGTCTAAATAAAGAGACAGCAAATCAGAAATTTCCCGATACTGCTCCAGTGGTAAACCATTTAAACAGGAATCTCTGATAATGGTTACTGTGCTAAAAGGAAATTGACATGTTTCTCTCTTTTTTTAACGCACTGCATTCACCAAGAGCATCACATGATTACTCACATGACAAAGCATCCATGACTCTCCACCCGAGTGAGGGTGGTTACCCAGCAGACTCTGGGGTGGAACAACAGTGCATTCTGAAGACTATTGTCCAAAGCAAAATCAATGGATAGCTAAAGGGAAATGGATACCAGGGACTAGTGTGTTCAGAACAAATTCATGCCCATAACATGTCTGTGGAAAAAAATTCTATTATCTTGTCATTCCATTTTCCCCACAAACTTTTTAAAACCCTTTTCTTATTCCTAAAAGACTGTATGTACTTAGAATAAAATGAATAAATCCACCCCACCATTTACTATAGTTAATCACATTTTATACCAACTGCTATTTTCCCAGTAATTTTTCTGAAGATATAGGTTTAAATTGATTAAAATAAGTTATCATATGAGATTTCATATTGAATAGTTAAAAAATATTAAAAAACATATAACTCTGCCAATCCAAATTTCTATGTGTAGTAACAAAGGTCAATTTAGTTCACATAGAAGGAAATTCGTTAAAGCAAGGAGAAGCTTACCTGGGCCACTGCCTAAAAGGGTCTATGAAAATAAAAAGGCAAAATATGTAGATATATTAAGATCTCTTGAAATTCTGACTGAAACGTAAAATAAAGTGATAAGCACTGAAAAAGGAAAAGGTTACGCACTTCCAGTTTATGCTCTTTCTCTGCAAGGGCTTCCTTTTGACAGCGAAGAAAATCCGTTAACATCCGAGTGAGTTGCTTCCTATCATCTATTTCTGCAGCCAATCTGCCATTGTAATCTGCCAGCAGCATACAAGCGTCCTCTACCATTTTAGAAAGCCTTTCTCCAGACTCTTTATCTGACAAAAGCACAAAATAATAAAACTGTTACACAACAAAAACAATGCCATATGCTGTTCCCTCATCCTCACACCCAAAGAGTCCTGATCACACATTCTTTTCTTACCTGTTATTTTATCTAGTAGGGATACTTCTTGGACTTCAACAGGCAAAGAAGCTATCCTCTGATGAACCGCTGCATCACCGGTAGCGGCATTTTCCAGATCTTGCAGTGCTCTAACGAGATCTAGAGTCTAAAAAGTCACACACTTTGAAAACTAAAATAAGTTTAAAATATTAAACTACAAAACATAGAAATAGTCTCTAGATTAGTTAATCCTTATGTACTATTTACTTCAGAGAGAAACTGTTTAAAAACAGTCCATTTCGGAATCTAGGGCAGATGATCCCTTCAGGACCGGTGGTGTGAGTGCCGATACTAGGAGGGTAGAGGGAG